CAGGGCAGCCTAAAGCCCACTGCCAACATTAAGACAGAAAAAAGTAAGGAAACAAATAAACGCTCACTTCAGGTGTTTTATAAAATATGTGAATCAGGAAATTGTCTATAAACCAAACTGATTTTAAAATGGAAAATGTTCTATTTTATATATATATATATATATATATATATATATATATATATATATATATATAAAAACACGGATGCATAAACACTTGCATTTTATTTCAGTGTTAAATTCTGTTTAAAGTAACAGGTTATAATTAAAAATGTCTCCAGACCATAACTGGTTGTTAATTTTCTTTATTCTGACCCCGCTGATTTTTAATTGGTGACCCCTGGGTTAAATCTTTGATGATATTAGAGCTTTCCTTTGAGACAACATATAATTATTTGGTACGTGGATTTCTAATAGTGTGTTTCCCGCATATTAACATTCTGTCATTGGTCTGCTCAGAAGGTGGGACTAAAGAACAAGGTGAAAAAAATTAAGGATTATTACAATACATTTATTTTTAATGCAAAAGAAAAAGGGTTTTCCCAAGTTAGAAAAATATTCAGGAACACGAAAGTGAGCAAGAAAGAATATTATGTTTTTTTAAATGGTCTCATCTACACTTTACTCTCTCAGTATTTTAGGTATTTCTAATCAGGGCCTTCTATATTTACAATAAAGGTGAAAGGTGTTTATACTTTTTGGTACCAAACACCGCTCACCAGTCTGTTTCTGGAAATAAAAGTTTACCTGAAACCAGGTAGAAAATGAAATGAAATTTAACAATAAAACTATGCAAATATACTTAACTATATGCAAGAGCTTTATCTGAAAATCATAACTCAAACGTATGACTTTTAATGTTCTTCCTGTTTGTTTCGGTTACTATATTCATATGGAAATCATTACACATATAAAAAAACGAAAATTATTTTTCTCTGGGGCCCCCAAGTTCCCCTAGGTGCCTAAGCAGTTGCTTAGATTCCCAAACTTGTCCATGACATGAGCCAAACAGCAACAATGTTTAGCGTTTATCTCCACTTTGCAAAAGAAACTTGTGTAGAAAGCTTCCAGCCGTACATGTTTGAGAAATTTTCTACATTTTGGGACCATATAGTCTGATAAAGACTACATTTATATACATATTTATGCCAGAATGATTTGAAATTTAAATATGGCTTCCCTACAGCTTTAACAGAGACATTTTTTATAAGGGTGGCCAAGCACTAACCGATGCACACTGAGGGGGCCTGAAAGCGGATCCGCACCAAATTTTCTAAATAAAGACTAACTATATTTTTCTACAGCCTTTGCTAACAAATAGATGCTTTCTGGATAAAATATATATTGGATAAAAGTTTTGAGTTCTGGGCTGTAAATCAATCATCACTGTCATCACTTACCTTCTTACACATTACATAAGCATTCTGCATAAAATTGATATTTACAGGGACTAATATCTGCATAAATTGATTATTTATTAAGTTTTTATTAAAATCTTTGATTTCCCTGAAGACTCCTAGATGACTTGCAGAGACACGTAATTTTCTCTTTACCCCATAAAACAGAAAATCTAGCTCTGAAAAGAGCATGAATTCTGTATTTATCATCTTTGATGTTACTGTAGTATATTCATGTGTATATTTAACCACAAAAAATAAAATGTTTTGAATATTCCTCTTGAGAGTATTACTGCTGCCACTTATTAGAGGGAAGAAATGATAGGGGTGGCCACAGATTGGCTAAGGGTGGCCCTGGCCCCCCATCTAGCTCCGCCCCTGGACTTTAAGAACTTTTTCTTAACTTTATAGACAGTTCTATTCTATTTAGTTTATCAATCAAGGTCCATTTTACAAATAATAATAAAAAAGAAATAGAAGGGGAAAAAAATGACTGAAGCTTTTATTGTGGAGGGGCTGACCGGATGTAGCCCCCCTGTTCTCCCCCTGAACTTGACATCCAGCAGAGAGGCGGGGGATTGCGAACCGAGAGGCTGACTGGAGCTGTGCTGCGGGCTCCACCGGACTAGAAGCCGCTCTAACGGGTCTGGTGATCCTCCTTCCAGCGGCGGACGCGGAGCCCACAGGGCCGGACCTACAGCAGCCGTTCCTGGGTGAGTGCAGCTGGGTTTTCCGTGACGTTCTGGCCCCGGTGAGAGGCTATTGGCTTCTAACGGACTCACTTTGTTGCTATGCACGCTGCTGCAGAGGCTCCGGACCAAACCTGCAGGGCTTTCTTTTAACCGCGTGGAAATATCCACGGGGAAGTTGTAGCATCAGTTTGCTGATTGTGTCAGGTGGGTGATTAAACATAGGAGGTGATTGCATCCATGTGTTCGGCATGCAGCTCCCTGATTGTTGGGGTGATTTCCTCACACTGCTGGTTCAGGTCCTGAGTGGGAGTGGGAGTGGGGGGTCTGTGCCCTGGGAATCTGGTGATGGCGAGTGGGAAGCCTTTGTTGTCAACGCATTAGGATTAAAGCCCTTTGTGTTGCTTTTCTGCAGCCAGTGTTGTGGAAGGGAAGGAATTGGGGCCCTGCCCCCCCCTCCATCTAAACGCCCCTGGGCAGCTCCCCCCCCATCCCTATCTGCACCCCCCCAAATCAAAGAATTAGAGACCCCTGGTTGTTTGTTTACCTGGTGTGAGCAGCTCCTCCATGCAGATGCTGCTGGGTCACATCTGCTTTGAGTGAAGCTGAGGGACAAAGGCAGCCAGTTCCACAGGGTTTGGCTGCTGAGGTAGCAGCTCTGCAGATGTGTTGACTAAAAGCCCATTAGCTCTAACCTGGTATTTAGTGACGTATTTTACTCCGGGTTCCCCCCAATAAGGTTTCCTTTTAAAGTCATAGTGAAATCATATTTAAATGTCAAATCATTCTGGCTTAAACTTGTAAATAAATGTATTCTTTATCAGACCAGATTGTCCCAAAAGTTCCTGTCATAAAATCTTTTTTTTTCCTT